GATCATGCCGATCGACATCAGGCAAACCAAGATCACTGGGTGTTTGAGATCGTTCCCCGGTTGGTGTATTTGATTCTGCAGTCCCTGGGCTCAAGGGAGAAAAGGAAGAATCCGACATGGTTAGTCTTCCTGGATAGGCATATTGTAGGTCGGATCCACAGGTTTGGAGTTCCGCACCTTGTTTTAATGGTGCATCTGCGACAGAGTTTTCCTGATAGGAATTGGGGTCTGTCCAAGCATACATTTTCCTGATAGATGGCGGTACGGTCACTTCACTTGAATCAGATAAGTTTCGTGGGATCACAGACTTTAGTACTTCGTCCACAAACAAATCACGTGTAGCCTCGTCTATAATTCCGTTTCTGGATTCTGCGTAAAATGCGTTCAGAAGAGTGAACGAATAAGATGGTGGAGGACTCTTTTCAGTACGGTCACCGTGATTAAATCCAGGACTGAACTGATCTTCGGTGTACCAAATTGGGGGAGAGTAGGCACGGTCCTTTTCAGAATGAAGCAAACCGTTAACGGGCGGAATATCTGAGCAATTTTCTGTTGGATGAGAGTTACTGCAATTTTCTGATTCGGTTTTAACGGGTAAAAGTTCCTCGGCTAAGGAATTGCACTCCTCTGAGTATTCCGCACTGAACAGATGATTTTCGGTGGACTGTGGCTCGCTCTCGTTGGAGTAGTGGTTGACAGGAGTCGGCGCCTCTAAGTCAGAGGCGTTTGCTCGACGGTTGTTTGCCGACCAGCGATAATCGAAAGCAGCTTCGAACACAGAAGCACCACAATTAAATAGTCCAGTAACTGCTACCCACACAAACCACTTAAAATAAGCCCACGAAGTTCGAGTAATGGGAACAGATTTTGTTAGATGAGAGGTCTCGGTATCACAATGGTTTTCTTTCTCAACCTTTTCTTCCTTCAATTGTTCAAATGTTCCCTCGATAGTGTCCGATGTAATAGATTCCAAAGTGGACATCAGCTGCGATGGGTTGCATTACCACATCCAGTTCACGCATGCACATAAAAATATACCATACTGCAATGGCGAAAATCAAGAAGCTCACATACTAGTCGCAACCTCAAGAGGCAGCGGTTGCACGATTATAGTCTTGTAACGTTGCATTGCCGTTGGCTTCACAGGATGTACCCGAGCCATTACTTTCTGTCATGTGGCTCAAATCGACCAATCAGTAAAAAGCTCAAATTTCGTAACCTTCACTATTAACCAATCTGCCTTCGCGTCTGTTGGTAGATCCAATGGTACACTGTCCTAAGCTAGTTGTTTTGTGATTGGCTGTCGCTTTTGTGTCGCCCGTTTGCCTGTCCGTAGCTGTCGTAGCCACACTAGTCGGTTCGGCACGGTTGCCAGTCAGACAAATGGGTTAAGGAAAGGAAGTGTTCCCTGAGCTTGTCCGATTCTGGTTGTACAGACCGATAAACTAACCGTGCTACACCTACGAACGCTAACACTCGGTCCCCTCACTCCACACTTTGGGAATTCCCCTACCATGGCGCTTAGTAACTACGGGCACTGCTATTTAGACAATTTTTCTTAAGGTAAACAAATAAGAAGAATTTGAATTCTTTTTCGAGTGTTTATCTATGTAAATTATACTTTTGAGGTAGGGAGAGGCGAGGTAATGCCAGCGGCAATTATCGTTGTTGGTCTCTGTTCAATCTGAATTAAGAAGGATTGTATACACCTCGCACACCTAACTTTCAAAAACATATTTCAGCAAACATATAAGGGGAAATCTGGTTATCGTGTGCACAAATTGCCCCGAAATAATCATAACTATCCGCATTAGAACAGCCATTCAATAGTTTATACAAAAATAAAGTCGTGCATTAACAAGTGGTAGTCAACGAAATTATTCATAAAATTAGAATTCACTGAAATGTATCAATTAAAATGATATATGGGGATGTGATCCCCTAACCTTTGTACCAAATGATACAAACAAATCGATGATGATTTCAATACACGGGAAGTCAAATGCACACGATGATCACCCAAAAATTGGGCCATGGGCACTCTAGGCTGATAAGATCCATAGCACAAATTACTCAATCAATTGACTTCTGGGATGATAAGACTTTCGTTCAAAAAGATAGAAAGCTAACAATAATGAATGTTTTCTATGAGTCATGTAACCAACGAGGAAAGCCACTGAAAGATGTATGTTTTTTGGTGTGAATGAATTGCGGATGAATTTAATCCGCTGAAAGTCACAAAAACAATCGATCTTTCAAATATGCCGAAATTATGATTGACTAGTATTTTAAAATATTTGATTTGATAATGAAGATAAAAAAATTAAATTGGTGTAAAACTCTTGTAAGAGATTTTGTAGCTAGGTAAATATGAAGAATGCAGTGTGATTTAAAAGACCCGTTGAAATTTCAAACAGTTTTGCACATTTGACACGAGTCTGGAATTCTGAATCGATGATGTGGTGAACACTGACACTACAGAATTCAAAACAGTTGAAATCAGTAATGGCATTCGGTAGGACACTTTAATCGAGTCAAGACCTCATGAAGGTGGTAGGATATAATGTAGTTTTGATTTGAAGCTCAACTGTTTTATGGACGATCAAAAACGGGTACAACATGGGCAATCCACCGGAATAGTTCTCCATGTTTTGTACTTAAACTCTTCCATTTAAAGTTTCATGCAGAAGGGCCTAGAACACCTGTTTTGATGATGCGTTAATAAACGGCTTTCGTTTTTATCCTGAAGAAGTCTGAATATAGAAATTCTCCAATGGATTAAAATCCATTGGAATCCATTGAAAAGTCAAAATAAAGAACTAGTTGTCTACTTTCCAGCTGCCAGTTTAACTGGATGTTTTGATCACGGTTCCATTTAAGCATACGAACAAGAACCACGTGATTTTGAGCAGTGTTTGCAATCTGATCTTTCCGAAACGCATTCACGAACTCAAAGCGGTCCAAAGAAATAATACTTCAATCTCTGTATCTAGACGTGAATAACCAGCAATTGGAACCGCTCCAGACAGTTGTCCCGTGTGCTTATTTGTTATTCAACTTATGATACTGAAAGTGCATGATGGTACTGCAATGGTTGAGTTGTCACCCTGAGCTGATTAGTAGTGTGCCGATAATGTTAGTATTACTGCTTATTCAGTGTTAAGTGTTCTGTGATCGTATGGTTTCTCATTCTCAAGGCGTTCTGGGAATTAAACTCAGATGATATCGAATTTTTGTTTCCATTGCTACAGATTGCTTCCCCTGCAATCATGCGTTGTCCAAGGAGAATTCATAGTTACTCTCCTCCTCTGGTTTGCAGGTGCAGGGTGTTTTGCCTGTCTGAGTCTAAACGGTCATATGCATAACTTGCGGTAGGAATACAACCAGGAGCATCCTGTAGAGTTTGTGCGCATTATTTAAACAAAATACTTGATACTATGGTGACACTAAATTTTCGGAACAGATCTACGATTTGACGAAATATGTC